ATGCTACAAGTGAAGGTCGAACCGATATGTGGATAGAAACGCGGAATATAATTTACTACTTTGAATTCAAACGATATGATCCTGATAAAAAAAATGTAATCATGAGCTTAGTCGAAGAGGCAATCAATCAAATATTTGAAACAAAATATTATATTGGTCATACAGATCCAGAATCCTATAACAAGACGAGATATGCTATTGGGTGTGTTTGTTCAACGGGAACTCGAAAAATCTGTGGAGTTGGAATTCAAGAATTCACTTATAGATCAAATAGGCTTGAAAAAAAGGAATTACAAAATTTTTTAGATGGATTTCAGTAATGAAATGTAATTCATTGATAATATGTATGTTTCGTATTTGCATTGAATAATATATATAGTATAAATATCTTGCATTTGTACTTGAAGTAATTAATAATAGCTACAAGATTTAAAAAAATAACATGGCGTTTTGATAAATTTTCTTATTAGCAGTAATGAAATGTAATTCATAAAATATCGTATTTGCGTTTAATAATAAAGTATAAATTTTATCTTGCAGATTTAAAAAAATAATATGCGCTTTATTAATTTCTTGAGCAATAAAAAATAAATAATTGGTAGCGAATGAAATATGTGACACCCTGCATCATATTATTTCATTGCTTACTTACCGCTAATTTGTAATTCTAAATAAATTATCCCACACATTACTCATTTGCTAAATATACTGTACCTCACCCATCAGCACGGATGTAAGAAAATTTTCTTTGATATGGAATCTAGTGTAATACCAATAATTTCGATAAAAATAACAGACATCTCTTCCCTACCATTATATTTATTTCATGATATTCCACGCTCTATGATCAAAAGATTTATTAGGTGCAATCGTGAACGATCAAAATCACGTGAGTATTCAGATCAAAGTTCGGAACTTATTCTTACGTAATCTCACCATGATATTACGCAGTGACATTTTGTCACGATCAGTGTCATGCGTAAAAATTTTTATTAATTCAATGTAACATAAAAAATAGTCGAAATCTTTCCCTGCGATACATGATGAAGTTACTACGTTACTAATTAATACGTTTTTATATTATTATTCCCTAATCCGACTTTTTCATGATGATCTTTGCTTTTTTAGATCCCTCTCTTCACTTCGTGAATCTTCCATAGGCTTCTGTGCCTCCTCCAACAACCAAATAATATGTCTCTTTCGTACACAACAGGTAAGAGCTTCGACAACTTGAACAATGGTTTTCTTTCACTGTCTAGCATATATTCCATGAAATCCGCATCTGTTACAATCCCCATACTTTATCCAGATCGTGACATTTTGTCATACCTAAAGAAAATCACCATTTATCACGCGATCACTTTTGCCAAGAAATTTCCGAGACATTATGTCCCAGAAAAATGCCAAGAAAAAATTTTTATTATTACATGCGAAAAATAAATACAAATGTTCGGGACGTAGTCCATGATACATATACGTGACTTGGAAATTCGCCCTGCGTTCTTTACGAAATGACTGTTATAAAGTACATATTTATTAATGAAAAGAAACTAGAGTTACAAGAAATAGTAATACAGAAATTTGATAATAATAAATTCTTACGTATTATATCTATCCTCGAAAAGTTTTCTCTTCTTTTTTGTGTCCTCCCGACTCGCAATCCCGAAGTCAATCAGATAGACATCACCATTATCATTAATTAAGATGTTTTCCTCTCGAATATCATTGTGAAGGATACCGTGCTTGTGAATTGCTTCTAATCCCTTAATGGCTCTTGACTTCTGTCATTTCTTTATTTTAACGTAATGCCAACAATGGTCATGCCGATAATGAAGCTCATACCTCCTCCATAATATCCATGACAGATCAACTTTGGGATATACTTGCCTTGGATGTCAGCAAACGCTAAGTCTTTATAAATCTCAACTTCTTTTTTCATTTCTTCTAGGACATACGATGGGGCCTTCGATAAGTCTACACTCTTTAAAGCGATCATATCACCACGAAATTCGCATAGGAGCATTTTACCACTTTGTTCTTAACCTAATATGTTAAGTCTGCAAAGCTAAAATTTTCCTGGTCTACAGGGGTATTAGAAAATGATTGTTGATTTGCCAAAGTGCCAGAAGTTGGTTGTTGGTTTAAGGAGGAGCTGAAAGATAATGATTTTGAGTTTGATCAAAGAATACATGAATTATTATCCTCGTGAACTGGCATTAGTACTTAAGGTTTAGAAGACTTGAGATTCTCTTTCACCTGTCGAGTTAGATAAGCATATGCCTTGAATACAGGTGAAGATTCAGATTCCAGTAGAAGGGTTTTTGAAATCCAGAGCTTTGTGTGTTCTCGGCATAAAAATCAGTGATTATTATAGATGGTAAGAATACCATATCTAAGTTCGTTTCCTTTCATATAATTATAGATTTGTTGAACTACATCCTTGCCTTTACTCGTTTGATAAAACTCAGGAAATGTCTCTTCACCCATATCCTCTAAAACATGCTTTCTTTTAGCCTCTATCACCAAGATCAATAAACCTATGAAATGACAGTTAAAATCTGGTATGTCAGGAGTATCAGTAGATTTCCTTGAATATACATAGTCTGGTTCTGTAAAATCATTCAATACCATACAAATATTGAAATTCATGGCATTACGAACATCCTCTTCATCGACTATAACAAATCTATCATCAAATCTCAGCCTCTCAAATATCAGTTGCTGGTTAAAGCAGAACCTGTTCACTTTCTTGAAAAAGTCTTCTATAGAAATACACTTGTTAATGGTCACTATTAACTTTAGTAGTGGTCTTTGAGGTAATACAGTCTGGAAAATATGTATTAGTGATGGAATACATGACAATGCCTCTTCTAAGCTAAGAACTGGAAACGAATACATATTAATATATTACGAGGTAAATAACAAAAAATTACAGACTGTATCAGAAAACTTATGTGGCAATTTTATAATGATATAAATATATTCTTCAGGAAGTAAGTTAGGAAAATATTTTGAAATCTTTTTTGTTGCAAGAAGTTCAACTTTATCTTGAAATTAGAGATTGCTTAAGAGATCATCATGATCATCAAGGATCTTCACATTCCATAGTTTAATACCTTTAGTATCAATGTTAGCAAGATTTATGCATTTTTGTTCTTTATAACCTCATGGAGGTGGCTGACAAGCTGATCCTTATTAATATCGATAAAGAAAGCGTTTGTGAATATATTTCTTTTGACAAGACACAATAAAGTGATAGATATATTTTCAGTTTATATAGTATTTTTTGCGAAATATTATTGATGTAAACTAGTATATGTGAGAAAAAGAATTTTATTTGCGAAAAAATACCAAAGCCTACTATATGTGAGAAATTATTTTGTTATACAGACCTGCTGTATGATTAGCAATTGCATCATAAGTGTAAATGAACTAACAATTACTTAATCACTATGCCTTCCTAACTGTAAAGGCCCTTCACATTTATCACCTGACATAGTGATATATGTTAGATTTATTATTATTATATGTAACTCATTTCTCATATACTGATAAAATAATACTTTATTTATGAAATAAATCATTGCTAGAAGCTGACTTATAATACATAAAATTGCATTATATTGGTATAAATAAAAAAGTTTTAACTATTGTCAGAAAGGCATACAACGATATTAACTCTATTTTTATTTGACTTAACACTAGCGAAATATTTTTCTTAATCATTACTAAAAAATGAACTAATTCTTAACAATAGAGGCAAGCATTATCCATAATTCTTATCACCTTTCTTCTCTTTTTTTAAGGTTTCAGTGAAAGCTAAAGCAATATTCTCATTAAGTATTTTGTAAAGAATAAGTTTACTTGGATCGATATGTTGGAATCAGTTTGACACCTACTTTTTGATCATTGATTTGAGTTGGTTGACCATCTTATCTTGAGAGATCTCTAGCATGACAATATCTTCAAAATCGTCACCAGAAATAATACAATTAAGAATCATAACTTTATTATTGTCGGTAACCATTTTGCATTCCTAAATACAAGACCCATAGTGGGAAAATTTCGCATATATTATAAGTATTAACTTTTAGTATATACGCATCTTAAAATTTTTGCAGGAAGGTTGGCTAAACTTTCATATACCACTACATGCTTTATATCTTGCTAGGAAAAAATATAAGAAAATATGAGGTATAATTAGTATTGTTGTATGATGCTAAGAGTTCTATGAAAGTATATGCAAGCGGAAACTTCATACCTTTTCATATGTAGATCTATCTTATAAGATATATAGTTAGTTTTACGCTTAGCAATCTCAAAATTGTGAATCCCTTAGCCTTTCATAACATATAGTTTTGTTGTCACTATTTACTTATAGATTAGTCCTGTATTGCAACTAGACCTTCTTTCACATTTTTCTCATGTTTGTTTGGGAAAAAGATAGAGGTATTAGTTAGCGAACATATATATGAAATTAATATGCGCACAGACCTATTATATGATCAGTCTATTTTGTCGCACAATCTGTGACTCAGCAAAAAACATATTCTGAACTGATGATCACTGCTCTGAATATGCTAGATTGGTAATAAACCAGAATTCTGCTTAATTGGCTAGTATTCTATCAAAATAATTCCTTAGTGATCGTCTATTAGATTGCCAGTTTATCTGATATAACATCTGAACCAGATTTTGATGTAAATTTGATCAGTTCAGGTTGTATTAAGAATATCAGCTAAAGTAGACTATACTAAACTCTGATGGGCAGTACTGGCTTGTTTAAGATAATTATTGAATGCAATAATAAGATCAGGGATATTAGAGCTTTCACATAATTCTCGATATGGATATTTGGATTAAGTGAAATGACTTTATTAATTTTATAATACCTTCTCAAATTAAGATATTTTAAATTAAGACATGATCTAGCAATTTCTTCGATAGTTATATCAGTAATTTTACAATAGCTAAGATTAAGTTATTGGAGTCTTGAGTAAGAATAAATAATATTGCAAATTGATAGTCCACAAATATCTGTGAGAAATATTTAGATATTCTAATTTATGGCATGATCAGGTAATTGCATATAAACCTTCATCAGTTATTATGCTCATATTACGGGATTTATACTCGTCTTTTTGCAAATTAAGATACTTCAAATTGAAGTATGATTCTGCTATTCGATTTAGTATCTTATCACTAAATCCTGTGCTAAATTAAAATCTAAATGAATTATGTTTGGGAACAAGTACACCAATGCTTTTGATTTTTTAACAGTAGTGTGAAATTTCTAGATGAATTAGATTTGAGCTATAGACTGGCTTTTATCTTTTTCGTATTATTTTCATAAATTTCTTCAATCGAGTGTAGTGTTTCGCAAAAAATTAGATTTAATCTGAATCTGATCTGAATTTGACAGATCAGATTGAATCAGATTTATCAGATTCAAATCAGATTCAAATCTGAATTTTGATTTGATTCAATCTGTAGATCTGAATCAGATTTGGATTTGAATTTGATTCAATCCAACGGATTTGAATTTGGATTCAGATTTGGATTCAAATCCAATTTGTTGGATTTGAAATAAAAAATGCCGCTTAGAAAGTCAGACGCAGCATTTATTATTAAAAAAATTTTTTTTATAATAAAATGCCGCCTAAAAGTCAGACACAGCATTTATTATTAAAAAATTAATTTTTTATTAATTTTAATAACAAAATGATGTCACAAAAGTCAGACACAGTATTTATTATTAAAAAAATTAATTTTTAATAATAAAATGCTGATCTGAACTTTGAAGGTAGATTTTGTTAAAAAAATAACAAAATTGTTGTTTTTTTAACATTAAAATGTTATTCCAAATGTCAGAGGCAGATTTTTGTTAAAAAAATAACAATTTTATTGTTTTATAACATTAAAATGCCATTCCGAATGGCAGAGGTAATTTTTGTTAAAAAATTTTTTTGATCTATCGGATACAGATACAGATTCAGATACAGATTCAGATTTGTTGAATTTGGATTAAATCAGATTTATATTTGTCAAATTCAGATCGAATCAGATTCAGATTTTTCAGATTCAGATTGAATCAGATTTTACTCAAATCTGATTTAATCTAATCTGTGCAGAACACTAATTGAGTGTAATCTTCTCTTCTACCTTTTTTAGTTCGACACATTTCCATAAAATAGAAGCATTGTATCTGTATTACAATTAACAAACAAATAGAGTGGGATAGAGGGATTTATCTATCGCTAAGAAATATAAAATCTGTTCTAATACTTCTGCTATATTAAAAACTTATATGCGTCATAAATAATATATCTGTATCTTTAAACAAAAATAAAAATATGTGATCACCCTTTTTCGCTCAAAGACCTTCAGAAGAAAAGCTTTTCAATTATTTTTATATATCAACTCTAAAAAATATTTCACTAAACAGTTGGCTTATCTTTCACAGTATCAAAAGTACAAGGGAGAAATTTATTTCTGAATTTCAGCTAATATTGCATCAATTTCAGCTAACATAGGATCCATTTCTATTATCTGAGACTTTTGAGGATCAGGTTGGGATGCAGACAAAGAAGCATGTATTTGGGTTTTTGAACTGTCACTTGCATATTCAGATTTATGGTCAGATTCAGGACCATTGTCTTCTGACTCAGTATTATTTATAGCATAATTATCTTCCGCATTAAGGTGGTCTGATTCTTACCTCATTGCAATTCTCAAAAAGAGTTTAAGATGTTGGGGGGTTGGATTTTTAACACTATGAACTCTAGAAGCATGTTTAGTCCCATAATTTCTTAATTTTTTAGGTATGATTCTATAAGGTTCTTACTTTAAGAATTCATTAAATGACCAAGCATTATGTGTTTCTCTTTCAGTAAAGACAGGATCAGATAACTTTTTAGCCTTATTGTATCTTAAATCCAGTTGAGTAATTTCTTGGCGCATTCTGAATTCTTCTCTATAGAAAGAAATGGTTGGAATTCAGGATTTTCCTTCTTTTCTCTTCTATTCTTTAGATAGCCTATGCAGTATCAAGAATAGCTTTCTTTATACCATGCTAGAATGTTAGAAGGATTCAGTTCATGGTGATTAATTTGAAGAGATCTTACTTCTTCTGGTCCCATACTCAACATCGCTATCACATCAGCAAGATCCTCTCTAGTAGGAATTTTGAAAACATTCATATTTTGAATCCTTTTACTCACATTTTCTAAGGAGAAATATATGGAATTCTATCTGGATTAGCCATTCGTTTCTTAGTTTACTTTTTCTGAATTTCATTAGACTCTTGAATATGTTTTTGATCTTTAGCAAATGCTTCAATAATTGGAAGATCTACATTGTCTTCTGCTAACTTAACATAAAATGTTGATTGACGCGAGACATCAGTAACAATTTTATTTTCATCATTACTCTTTGGACCTAAGTGCTAATGATAGCAATAATGTTTATAAATTCACTGGTCTTAACACAATATTTTGCCTTTCCTTTATAGTAAGTTTTTCCTTTCTCTTATCTGGTAAGAGAACCTCTATTTGCTCTTTACTAAATAAGCACCTGTTATCAGTACCTTTGGTAAATGCAACCTTAACACATTGTAGTCTGCAAGATTACATTATTAAAAGATCGTCAAAAATTGATCTTTAAATTTATAGTTAACTTATTTGACAAATATGACAGATTGGTCATATTTGACCGATGATCCATATTTAATATATTAATTATATTTGTTATATTTATTAACTTTATTAATTTTATTATATTTGATAGATTTATTTTATTTATTATATTTATTATATTAGATATATTTATCATACTATATTACTATTAGTTTATTTTATATAAATAGCATGTATTTTCCCTTGAGTTAAAAGATAACTTGAGATAGGGTTTTGTGAATAAACCAAGAGTTCAATAAAGATATTTGTTATTCATTTACTATTACCTTTTGCCGTGTCTTCATACAGGCGTGATTGTGATAAAGTTATTGTGATTAATTCGTGAATTATATCGTTTAAGTTTTATTTCCAGCCCTCCGGCTAACAGGGGCAAAATGATTCGCCCTTTGAATGCATAAATTATAAATTATGACCTGTGAAATGGCTATATTATTTTGAATATAAAGCAAACAATATTATACCAACCATCCTCGACAATGTACGCACAAGCTTTAGGATTACGTCTACTTCTGTGTGTGCACCTTTTGTGGTAAAATCTAAAATATCTTCTTGGTCTTTGCTCTTGTAAATTCTGTGTATTTTGAATAGTGAGAATAAGAATCACGAAAAATAAATATCTTAGATATCAATCAAATAACTCACAAATCTCCATATATTTTACTTATTTTATACAAGTAACTATTTTCGATTGAACTTGAATGGATTTCCGTACAGTATGCCTGGCTTACGTGTCCTTTATATACCATCTACATAGAGTAATGAATTCATAAGTATATGCATCCATCTAGACAAATAAGATAATTTAAGAAAAACAAAACTCATACATCCTCGACTTTTAGAACAATGAACTCTCCTCGCTTGTCATTTCGGGAACTCGCAACATATATTCGTAATCTTTCTTATTGAACTTTTTGTCGTTTTCGCAAAACCACTTTTTCATGTGAGCGGATAAATCGATTATCCTTGACGCACCATATCGCAATATAGCCTTTTCGATTGCCGTTAGTCGTTTCTTATTTTTTACTGTGCGTGCGTTTTCGGATATTTTTTCGGAATAGATGTCACCGACGTTCTTTCCCGAAGGCAAAGCCCAAACTTTTGAGTTGGAAAGGGCAACATCAAGCGAGTCGCAAAGCTTCCTCGTCTTCGTCGCTATAATCATTTGCTTCATTCGAAGGAATCCCATCACCGGTTTCATCATCTTCATCCGTTTGTGCATAATTTATAGGAGATGGCTTCGTAATCTTTGTACCGTCAGTTAGTGTATCACCTAAAAGAAAATAATTTATCTTTTTGTAAAAGATGTTTTTGTCAACCAAAAATTAAGTTATATACTGACTTTTTTTCCTGATTTAGATTTCTTTTTTAATGGAGGCTTTTCTTCATGAAATCTAACTCGCTTTGTTTGATTTCGTTCATCTTCCTAAAGGATTAAATGGTAAAATAATTAGTTCCACGAATTTTCAACTTCTAGATAAAAAAGCATTTCTATACCTCCTCTTTATCTCTTTTGCTAGACACAATTGTTCCGCCGTTGCCATCCCCTATATTGGTTATATTCCCATCCCCATGAACGGTCGCAACTATCGGCTGGTTAATATGAACTTGCTTTCGTGATCGTTCCTGATCCCAACCTCTTGCTCGTAGACAATCGGTTTTAGGTTCCTAGAAAAATTTAGGAAATTAGCACCATTCTCAATCTAATAAACCTCCAATAATCCAATACCCTATCCCACCAGAACATCAGGCAACCAAGTAGGTCACCTGTGCCCAGTGGGTCCAGTGTCAGATCGGCAAGTAGCCTTTGAACATCAGGCAACCAAGTAGGTCACTTGTGCCCTGACACCAGTTTTGTGGCTCGGCAATTAGCCTTGAATGACAAGCAACCAAGTAGGTTCGTGTCACGCCACTGAGACTGTTGTGAAAGCTCCTGCGAGAGTAGAAACAAGTTTCTACGGTAGTAGCAGAGTAGGACTTCAACAAAAAGTATTTTCTACCTTCTACACGACATTGTGAAGTTTCTGCGACAGTCTCCCCCACTCATTCACAAAAAAAAAGTTTACTTTCCAATCTATAATTATCAATGAGCTTTTTGCTGTTTCCTTCCTCACACCATGTTCACTTTCGAAAATAGTATCGAGACATTTAAGGTAACAATCTATTTTCCTCTGAAATGGTTCCAGGTCGCACTTCGTTAAGAAACCCAATGATATCCCATTTCGAGGATTTACGATCGAAATATTCATATTCTTTGCTTTCCGACATTACTAGTTGGTTAAATTTATGTAATATTCACATTTAATTTAAACTAATTAAATTCTTATCTGGAGACGATCGACTAACAGCCAAGCCTCCGCCGGGTGACGTCACCGGTGACATTTCCCCAGAATACTTATGCGATCTGTTTCTCTTTTTTTAACGATCACTTGTGATTGATTACATAATACACATAATATCCAATAAAAATGATTCTTAACCATGCTATCTTTTACCATTTGTTCAGTTCACTTTCCTTTAATCCTAACAAAATGAGTGTCGCAACAGAAGGCTCAGAAGACATGCCCATTCAAGTGACTCGGGAGACCAGACAAGCATCCAAAATTAACCAGGTATTTAAGTGATGTTTAAAACAAATTAAGAAATGGCAATTATGGCTAACGAAGTATAATAG